TATATTTGTCCTTCTGTGATTGACTTATTTCACTCAGCATAATGTCCTCCAAGTTCATCCATATTAAGCGGTGTTTTGCAGACTCTACATTATTCTTTAGTGCTGCATAGCATTCCATTATGTGTATGTACCATAATTTTGGTCATCCATTCTTCCGTTGATGGGTACGTAGGTTGTTTCCATTTTTTGCTATTGTAAATAATGCTGTGATGAACATGAGTAGGCATATATCTGTTCCTGCGCTGGCTCTCACCTCTCTAGGATATATAGCTAGTAATGGGATTGCTAGGTCAAATGGTATCTCCAATTTCAGCTTTCTAAGGAATAGCCATATTGCTTTCCACAGTGGTTGTATCACTTCATAGTCCCACCAGCAGTGTCTGAGAGTCCCAATCTTTCCACATCCCCGCCAGCATTTGTTGTTTTTTGTCTTGTTGAACCTTGCCATCAGATGCTATCTAGTTGTTTTGATTTACTGCTCTCTGATGGCCAGTGATTGTGAGCAACTTTTCATGTATTAGCTGGCCACCTGAATATCCTCCTTGGTGAAGTGTCTACTCATGTCTTCTGCCCATTTTTCAATTGGATTGTTAATTCCTTTGGTGTTGAGGTGTTGGAGTTTTCTATAAATCTTAGAGATAAGTCCCTTGCCAGATATGTAATTATCAGCAAATATGAATTTGTTGCTGTCATTTTTGTTATGTGCTTTTTCGTGGTGTTGATTTCTTTGTTCCATATAGTTTTCTATGCTGAGCTCATTTTGTTTTTGAATCATGTTATCGCTTCCTTCATTTCTATTGTTTTAGTATTTGCTGAATATTTGTGGTGGTCCTCTTTTTTATTTTAATGTGAAGGTTTATCATTTTTCTTTCAGGTTACCCTGTGATTTTTAGTCCGTTCTATCATGTAGTTGTCTTGACTTCCCTACCATCTAGAAGTTCCATAGTGACACAGTTTTTTTTTCCCTCTTTTTGGTTTGTAGTTGTCCTCATTTGTCAATTGATGTCTCTGGTTCCCTGTTTACAATCTTGTATGCTTATTTACTTTGGATACTTCCATAGCTGGGTTGGTTTCTGGGTCATATCATCATGTATGTTAATGGTCAATTATTGTTGGCTGTTATTGCTTCTCTGTTCAAAGGGCTTCGTTTAGCATGTCTTGTAAGGTTTGTCTGGTTTTAACAAATTCCCTTAATTTCTGCTTATCTGGAAATGTCCTAATTTCACTATCATATTTGAGGGACAGTTTTGCTAGGTACATAATTCTTGGTTGGAAATTTTCCTCTTTCAGGGTTTTATATATACCATCATATTGTATTCTTGCCAGTATGGTTTCTGCCAAGAAATCTGAGCTTAGTCTTATTGGTTGCCCCTTGTAGGTAACTTTTCATTTTTCCTGTGCTGCTTTCATGATTCTTTCTTTGTCTTTGGTTTTGGTAAGTTTGATGAAGATATGTCTGGGTGATTTTCTTTTGGGGTCTATCCTGTTTACAGTTCGTTGGACTTCCTGAATGGATATATTCTCATCTTTCATCATACCAGGAAAATTCTCTTCCAACAAATCTTCGACAGTTTTCTCTGGTTTTATTCGTCTCTTCCTGTTCTGGAATTCCAGTTACACATCAGTTATTCCTTTTGATGGTATCCCACGTGGACCTTAGGCTTTCTTCATATTGTTTTGATCTTTCTTCTGATTGATCCCTCTCCAAAGAAGTGTACAGGTTTTTGCCTTCAGTCTCCCTAATCTGTCTTCCATTGATTCAATTCTGCTCCTTTGCCCATTCAATGTATTATCTATTTCTGAAAATTTAGTATTAATCTTCTGGATTTTTGTGTGTATATTTTGTATCATTTCTAATTTTTCATTTATTTTGTCATTTTATTCTTGTATTGTCTTTTGAAATTATTGTAGGGTTTTCTCT